TAAAACCTCTTCAAAGAAATTAACCAATAATCGTCACGATGCTGTTTAGGACAATGCAATGCAAACCGACTACAAAAATTGGTTGAGTTTCTTGAAAAGTTGCCTTCAGGCCTAAACTTAAACAGCAATGTAGGCTGCCTTGAAAGACGAGCTGAAATTAAAAATTTTCCAGCACTCACTAAAGGTTTCACAGATAATAACACACTACATCTTTTACGTTTTCAAATATTTTCTTGTTTCTGGGAAAACTTTTTATATCTTCCCGTTCTGATGCTCGGATCACGTCGCTGCGACAACTTGTGTGCGCAACACGAGTGGCGCGTGCACGGCAGGGCGCGGCCCGGCGGCGGAGGCGGTGACGGGTGGAGGCTGGAAGCGGAGCTGAAAGCCTTCATTTACCGGCCTTTGTGCGCAACAGTCCTTCAGCAACAAATTAATTCCCCCACTCCTGCGTTTAAATTCGTCCCATTCTTCTTATTCCTCCTTCCCTCTCTCCCTTTCTCTCCCCCTTCCCTTTGCCCACAGCCTTATTCCCTCTGCCCCCTCCCCATCCCTCTACTTTGCTTTCTCTTTACTGCTAATTTCTTCTATCTCCGTCTGATTCAGGTAGCGCGTGGCCAGCGTGCCCCCTGCCCGTCGGGTTTGGTACGCCGCCTGCGTACGGACCTAGTGGCCCACTAAATTAAAAGGCCGCCCCGCAGTTTGGCCTCGCTACGCTAACGCTACGCCGCGCCGCGCTACAAGCCCTGATTTCTCATTATTTTTGGACGCCCCCAACATGGGGTGCGGCAGCGGTGCTGCACACAGGCCTGAAAAAGCACAGGCAGTTGGTCGAAAGAGGGATCAGGAAAAGAGGTGGGGGGCCTCGGTCGCGCCGCACATTACAGGCAAGCATCGGAGCAATACGGCTACACAGTATTGAGCACAGACTTCTAGGTCATACAGTTGCCTCGTCTTGCCTTCCTCGCATGAGCACGGTTACGGTGGTGTAACTGTGAATGCGCAGCAGTGTTGCGGGTTTGGCTACCCAATTCGCCCATAAGGCGCCATGGCCCCTGCAGCCCTGGCGGGTATGCAATCCCGCAACAATGCTGCACATTTACAGTTACACCGGGTACAGGAAATTTTAACATGGAGCCCTATGGGGACTACAGTAAATATGTACGGATGTCCTGTACCTCATCATATGTACGAAAATCCTGTACCTTTTGGGTACCTTTCCTGTACTTTGCCGTCTTTTGCTACAGGATTTTAAACCGTGTACCTTTTATACCTTAAACTACTGCCAATTTAGGTTTTATTTTTTCATTAAAAAGCGTATACTCTACTCTTACAAGCCCGAGGGGGCAATAACTCCGGGAATCATGTGTACATCTGCCTGGGAATCATCAGGATAAAAATTAATCGAAATCAACAGAAATCGTTTAAACTAAGTGGGAAACTAATGAAACTGATACAAAGTAGTCGCAATAAGCGTTTTATCCCACTAGAAAACCTAAGGCATGAATATAAGTGGATGGGAATCACTGGGAATCAAGTATTTCGGGAATCATGTGTACACACCAAAAGGGAGTTATTGCCCCCTCGTACAAGCCAAAAGGTAGAATCGAAAATTGTTTCACCCCTAACTGTTCAACCCTTTCGTGTGTTAGTATATACTTTGGATTTCCAGAGCACTTCCGGGCCGACTATTTCGTGCGGTTCTCGTGACTTTTGCTAACCGTGCCGTGCACGCGAAATTATGCAGAGGAAGCAGCAGCCGTCTCGCCCGAGCAGACACGTCGCAGCTCACTCACTGGAGCCTGTAATGAAAAGGAAGCAGACGTGAATGAGACACGGAGAAGATTAGAAAACACACACACACACACACACACACACTCACACACACAGTCACACACACCTCTTACAGCCTAATGAACACCAACCACCGCCCGTGCTGACAGGTGATACATACGGCTAACACTGTTAAGAAATAGGTGATCTCCCGAATAGACGGTAAACACGACACACGACGTGTTATTTTCTAAGACGCAAAGCATCTCTTATGGAAAGAATACAAGGGATCGTATTGGTTTTTCTACAACTGCTCTGAAAATTAAGACGCCATTTTCATCGTCTGTTTTTTTTTTTTTAATGGGGGCATTTCAGTTTTTAAATAAATATACAACAGTCTTTTACTTCAAAACAAAACCCTTTTTTCGTCCCATCCAGTACGACGATATATTGTAACGGTATACGTGTTGTTCCTGTCCGCTGTTTCCCCAGGCTCCGGCTGTCGCCTCACGGCACGTCCCTCCTGCTCGTAGTCTCCTGCTTTAGCTTTTCAAAGAATGACTGGCTTTCGTTTGACTGCGACACGCTTCTTGCCGCTCTTGCGCCTTTTTTATTTTTATTTTTTAGAAAAGCTGCATTTTTGTCGTCGACTTTTTTTGGGTTTGTTGTTTGCCTTCCGTCTCCACGGCGCGCTCCCTCGTGTAGTGCGTAGCACACTGCATTTGCGTAACGACGCGTTGCCGCGCCGGCGACGTGCGCTGAATGGCGAGGAATCTTGTTAGAGGGAGTCGTAATATTCCAGCGATGTTGCTCTATTGTTTCCTAGGGGCCAGGCTGCGGTGCAGAGGAGGCAGAAGTGTACGTCGTCATCCATAGAGTTAAGATAATCTTGTTTTAAAATAACATTCTGCAGGGTCAGAGGATTTGTTTTAGGACGCTTTCAAAAGTAGGGGGAAAAGGAATCTGTCGTAGTGGACAAACTTTGTTCGATATTGTAAAGTCGATAGTTGACATCAAGAATCCGACGCTTCCAGCCAGAAACTAGTTGTCACGACGCGGACACTTATACTTTGAGAGGTATAAGGGGTCATTCTTTCTAAGTTTTCACTCATCCACAACAGTGGGATCGCCCACCTGAAGTGGGCGTTTTTCACCTTCATCCACGACAGCGTGGATTAAATCGCTCACCCGCATAGGTGTGCGACATTCGCACACTTCCTAGTGCACACCCTTCCCCATCTCGCTCCCTTGCTTCTGCTGTCTTTCCCTCGCAGTTTAGCGCCCCCTCCTCTGGTCCCCTCTCTCTCTCTCTCTCTCTCTCTCGCCCAAGGATATTAATAGAGACGCAAAGTGAAGTTTAATAAGAACAAGTAAAGTTTAGGGGTCTAAGGTGTTGGCCCCGCCCCGCACCCCTCTGTGTTTGCGCCGCTGCGAGCGACTCGTGTAATAACGCATTACGCGCCAAGCTCACCCCCCTGCCCCGCCGGGACACTGCCGCGATGTGGAGTCGGCCGCACCACACCGCAGCGCAGCA